ACCAACAGAATGTGCAGACGTGGTATTCTCCCCCCTTTCAAGGAAATGAATGGAATGCACAAGGGCAAGAGCTGCTTCCAGGATTTATTTCAACAAGGCTCAGGAAGCCAGTTTCGCATACGTTTTTCGAGGACCACAGTGTAATCATCCATGGGTCCCCTTACTCGTTTAAGGCTACCAGTACAGTGTTTTAAATGAGCACAGAAATAACTTCTGTTTTTATGGCTTTCTTAATGTGGTCTTGCTCTTTTTTTTTAGGAATGATGGTTGTGGATGTGGAATGTGAAAACTACTAGGGTTTTCCCCATCTCAAAACTTAAGAGATTCATTAAAGATGCTCAACTTTGCAAATCCAGACGTGCCCCAGGAGAAATGATGCCCCTTTGGGCCGAGTTCGTATCTGGTTACTACGTTTGCCTTTACCACTCCTTTTCCAATAAACAATACCCATGACGGTAATTACTAGCAGATAGTTTCCAAGAAGGTAGAGGTTTCTGCTTGGTGTTTTCGTTGCCGTATCACCACTGCTATATTTGCAATGTATAGAACAGCGCCTGGCACATAATAATGCCCAGGGCCTTTCACTGAATGGATAAATGAATGAACACATTTTTTCTTTTCCTTTGAAGCATCCTTCAAGTCTGCAACATTAAAACCACATGACTTCACTGTCTATGATGTTCACTTTCCCTTTTTAATACAGAAATGATAAAATTCATGGAGACTGCTAGACAACATGGTGATTTCTCGGAGGTCTTTGGATCAGAAAATGTAATGTTTTTGTCATGGCAAAAATGCCAAGGCTGGAGAAGGTTATAGCCCTTTACCAGATTCTAACATCAGCTGTATAAATTGACAGGATATAATTTTTGAGAATTTAAATATTATTTAGTGTAAATAACTATCATAAAAGTCACCCTATTTCATTTTAAAAAAGAAACAACAACCATATTTCCGCTTTTAGACCAGACCACTAAAATGCATCATCGTTTTTTTTTTTCTTGAACATATTCCATCTTATAGAAAAACTGGATTTGAGGGTTGATTTCCCCTCAAGAGGACTGATTTGGGGAAGAAGCCATCACTAGATAGAACATTAATGACTCTTAGTGAGGATAAGTTCACTGGTCACCTGAGATGATAGATAGGTGATAGATAAATGATAGATGATAGAAAGGAATAGATATCCTGTGATTAATTTAATCTTGCTCTTTTCCTATAATGTCTTAACGAACATAATAGCATTATTATTAGATGAACATCTAATTGAACTTCATTAGCACTAGGTTTTCACATTTAATATAAACAAATGTGTATTCAGAACTAAACTGAAAAAGAAAAAGCATTTCTACTCTTAAGCTTGCTAGATTTCAGCTGTCATGTCAACAACTTCAGGCTTTTCTCATTTGCCAGCTGTAGGCCCATTTATTTCTACTCACTTGTTCTGTGTCACTTGGTACTGAAAATCTCATTCAGTCTTTAGCTCCTACAGCCTCTTCTTAAGCAATAACTATCTCAGAGGGAGGTTGATTCTCTAGATGGGGAATGTGATTATTTACCCTAATTAGATCATGATAATTGGAGTGACCAGCTGGCCTCAGCAATTCATCTATCTTTGACACTCACCATGCTGATCAAATTTTTGGCACAAAATACTAAAGATTGCATATTAACTCATCTCTAGCATTTATTATGTAATTAGTGCCAGAAAGTACCAAGACAAGAATTCCATATTATTCAAGGCTAATCAGGATTCTTTCCTCCATTCTGAGCTGCTTTTACCAAGACCAGTTTTTAGACTTTGTAGGCCCCTGGTATACATACCTGTGAGCTCCCTGCGCTCACTTCCACTCTAGACACACACACTCACCCTTCCTGGGCAAAGTTAAGGGCAGGCAGAGCAATCTAAAGTAAAGCCTAGACAGCTCTGTCCTGGGTTGGGGTAAGTTACTTCATCTTACTGTGCCTCAGCTTCCCAACTACAAAATGGATGATTAAGGTGCCTGTGAGGATTAAATGAAATGATACAAGCACACTTAGAACTGCTCTGAGCATATAGTAAAAGGTCAAATATGTTAGCTATAGCTAAATGCTTTCTACAAGGAGCCAAAAAAGTCATAATTCATGGTTCTTTCCAGGCAGCGAGGCTGCTGAATAGAACAGGCAAGAAAATGTAGATCTACAACTATGTGGTCAACATGACTAATGAACTAGACTGACATGTTCAGAGTTGGCGTTAGTGGGAGCAGGGGCAAGTGAGCAATATTGAAAAGTTCTTGCTGACGTTCAGGCTCAGATGGACCCAGTTATATATAATGCAGTTTCTGTTCACAACAAGTTTCCCTTGGAGATTAGAACTTTTTCCAAATTCGTGTGCAGTCTCCCATCAAAGTTAGAGCAGGAGTGTGGCCCACATCTGATTATCGTTTCCTTCATTTGCATGAAGCTTAATTAAAAAAAATATTTTATTATGAGTTCTTAGCTTACCGCACTTTTGTGGTTGTAAAAAATTGTTACTTTAGATTGTTTCCTACAAGTTTTTTCTTCCGCCTAATTTCCTGGTGGCCTATAAAAGTTTTACCGAATCCACTGACTTGACACATTTTATTTTTACTAAGTAGGTATCCCTTCACTTAACAGAAAGATGACCCTTTGTTTAATATTTGATAATATCAAACAAGTATAAAATTACTCTCATCTCATATAAAATATAATGTACGTATATGTAAGTTGTGTGTGTTCAGCTTGAGTCCCAGCTAACTGAATGACACGTTTCCTTTTGTAGTTACCTAACTGAACTTTATCAGTTTCAATATTGTGGTTTTTATTTTACATTTTGGAGTCACCAATTCATTTTTAATCACAGAAGTTTTATAGGTCACTAAAAGCCTGTGGACCCTCGCTACTTAGTTCCCGGTTGTGAATTGATAAAACAGATTGGACCTGGACCCCCTCTGGTTGAGTTTGGCCAACTGATAAAATCAGAAAACCTGGATAATAGAAGACCTAGATTTTGGTCCTGGCTTGGTCATGAGCAAATCTTATTATTTAGGGAAAATTGCTTTATGTACCTGGACTTCTGTTTCTTCATCTGTGATATGAGAATGTGCATTCATTCTTTCATCCAACAAATATTATTAAAGGCCTTCCCTACACTAGGTTCTGTGCTGGACATGACAGGGGAAGGCGGGTTAGTTATTCAAAGTTGAGCAAAAATAGATATTGTTTTGAAGAGTTATGGTTTCGTGACTAGATGTTCTTAAAGGTCTCCCTCACTGCTGATTATAGATTTCATTGTCTGTAAAAGTATATTATGAAAGGCTTAAATAAGAGGAAGGATATTTGCTGTTTATTCACTGCTTCTTCTCAATACCTAAAAGAATGTCTGGCACATTGCAGGTGCTTAATAACAATTTATTGAATGAATTAATGAATGAATGTATAAATAAATAAATACATACTTCAAATACTTTGAAACATTTGATGGGGACAATGTGTAGATATTGAAACTCTTTTAATAGGAAATAGACAGCAGTGACTTCCTGTCACAATAAACAGATGAGTACCAAGTTTCACCTTTTCTCCTAAGCCCAGACAAAGGATGACAAGAGAAAATGGGGGAATTTGGGAAGATTTAACCTGATTCCACTCTAACAGGGAACAGAAAGTATGGCTGCTTCTCAGAATTACCTGACTCTTTGTTCTTTTGTTTTCACCTTTTGAATTTTGTCCCTTTATTCCACAAATATGTAATTCTTCTCACCTTAGCCTACGGCCATCTTTTCTTTTGAGTGTCCTAATCTCCATCAAATCATACATAATAGCTCCCAAATTTTTATTTTAGTAAGAGCATTTTGAAGCCTTATCTTATTCCTACAGCTAATCCTTCTATATGCTTCTAAACAATTTAAATCAATATTGCATTCTTTTGCAATTTGAAGAGGGTATTAGATATGTTGTTTCTTGGAGCTGATAAGTCTGGCAAACCACCCTGGGCATACCTATAGCATCCAAGGATTTGGGCAGGGCTGTGGAACTAAATAAATTCTCTGAAAGGACTTCATATTGCTATAGAAGGCCCTCAATAAAAGAAATCTGGAGGCTTTCTTCTGGCAGAAAATGAAACAATGCATTAGTGTTCCAAAGCTCTGGAATCCATGAGGAACACTGCTGGTACTTAGAGCGATACGATGATCAGAAATGAATTAGTTTCATCCAGAATGTTTTGCTGGAAAATGTGACCGGTGTGCTGGTTCTTTACAAGTTAATAATGCTCACCTTGGAAGTGGTACAGTCACTCAGTAATAGGTCTTTTTTCCTATCTTTCTAGTCCACCATCCTTAGTGTATAGTTTTTGTCTTCATGATCACAAGATAGGTGCTACACTGACAGGTATCTTTTGATGCCTGGGTCACCAGGAATAGGAAAAAGTAGAGGGTAAACACCTCCTTTGGAGCCCTCCCCAGGGAATTCTGCCTCTATCTAATTGACCACCACTATGTTCCATGGGCATTCTTAGCTTTAAGGGGAGCTGGAAATTCAAGTATTTCACTTTCTAGCTTTTATAAAACTTGAGAAAAAGAGGCAAGGGAGTTAGGATGGCTGCTCAATGATCCACATAAAGTATCTGTCACAATTAGTCTGACACTGATGGAAAGGTGATACAAGATTACTGTTGATGCCCTATGTTAAGAGCCTATATGTGGATACCTTGATTGGAAGGCTGAGAGATTAAAGACCATGGTAATTCCTGGGTGGACTCCTTGCCCCCCAATATCATAGCTTTGTTCCTGAGCTCTCCGTATGTATCATTGAACAACCTTCTTGGGATCAACTCTTCTGAACTTGGAAATGATATTACTAAGATAGCAGTAATCTCTTTTTATCTTAAAGCTCATATGAAATGGTATGAAAAGAAGAAATGAACTGTGCTTTCATATGAACAGATGAGACAAAAATACTAACTCTCCTCCCTACCCCCATCTTGTTTTCTTCCTCAGAAGCTGTAGATGAAACCAAACCTAAGGAAAGTGCCCGGCAGGATGAGGGTAAAGGAGAAGAACGTGAGGCGGACCAAGAACATGCCTGAACTCTAAGAAATGGCTTTCCATGTCCCCGCCCTCCCCTCTCCTGGGCCCTGTCTCTCCTCACCCTCTTCTCAGCTCCACTCTGAAGTTTCCCTTCCTGTCCTGCTCACATCTGTGAGTCTGTCCTCTCCCACCCACTAGCCCTCTTTCTCTCTGTGTGGCAAACAGTTTAAAAAAAAAAAAAAAAGCAGGAAAGATCCCAAGTCAAACAGTGTGGCTTAAACATTTTTTGTTTCTTGGTGTTGTTATGGCGAGTTTTTGGTAATGATGATCCAATCATTTTGGGAAATTCTTGCACTGTATCCAAGTTTTTTGATCTGGTGCGTGTGGCCCTGTGGGAGTCCACTTTCCTCTCTCTCTCTCTCTGTTCCAAGTGTGTGTGCAATGTTCCGTTCATCTGAGGAGTCCAAAATATCGAGTGAATTCAAAACCATTTTTCTTTTCCTCCTTTTCAATGTGATGGAATGAACAAAAAGGAAAAAAAAATTCAAAAACCCAGTTTGTTTTGAAAATAAATAAATAAAGCAAATGTGCCAATTAGCGTAACTTGCGGCTCTAAGGCTCCTTTTTCAATCTGAATATTAATAAATCATGAGAGTAATCAAGCTCCAGTGCCTCTGTGTTTCTGTTCCACCTTCTCATTAGTTGGTTTGACACATTGGGGTCTTACATTTTATCTTTTTTCTGGCCTCCCAGTCTGACACCAACAACCCTGATAAAGAAAAGACAGACGATGCCTAAGGCTCTGGTCAGACCAATGGCTTTGATCCTTGATGGGATTGTTGGGGGCTGTGTATATTAGTTTGCTAGGCTTCTGTACAAAGTACCACAGACTGCATGGCTTAAACAATAGAAATTTATTTTTTCATAGTCGTGGAAGCTTAAAGTCTGAAATTAAGGGGTTGACAGCGTTGGCTCTCTCTGAGGGCCTTGAGGGTATGATCTGTTCCAGGCCTCTCTCTTCAGCCTATAAATGGACATCTTCACTCTATGTCTCTCATTGTCTATGGGTGTTTCTATGTCTAAATTTCCCCTTTTTGTAAGGACACCAGTCATATTTGATTAGGGCCCACCGTAATGACCTCACCTTAATTTTATTACCTCTGTCAAGACCCTATCTCCAAATAAGGTCATACTTAGAGGTACTGGGGGTTGTAAATTTGGGGAAGAAGGGCACAATTCCGCCCATGACAGGCACTAAGGCTTCCTTATACTAAAGCCACCTCAGAGTATTTTCATCTCTCAGGAGAAGCATCCAGTGGAAGGTTATTCTAGGTTTTGCTAGGTTAAATATTATAGTCATGGATAATCATGGATAATGTTAGAACTCCCCAGGCTTTTGTTTAAATGATTTATTTTAACCCAAGTATTGACACAGTCCATCATATCTCTTTCTGCTTATTTACATCTGTTGGACTATCCCCACACAAGGCAGCTGTCAGATTCTTGATGAGTTATAGTCATTGTTCCTTCTGATGGTAATAGTATATAAAGAAATGGTGTTCATTTAGCATATCTATCCTTTTAAAATTTCCTTCCAGTTCTTGTTTTCTAAGTACCCTCTATTAGAAGACAAACAGTTCCCCTGAGAAACAGCGATGTCCCTAAATCTTGAAGTACATGATGCTGTTCTTTTTTGCCTCTAAATTTCCTAAATCAGTCCTGGTATAAATTCCTAACAAATCATACATTGCCTGAGTCTTGGTCTACTCCCAAAAACAAACTTGGGCAATGGACACCCTTCAGCTTCTTACACTCATCTGCACGTAGAATTTTTCAGCAAGGAAGTGAAAATTGTTTCAAAATAATGAAGATCATAGAAACAAGTGATTTTAAAAGGTACAACTTACACCTTGGTAACGACTCAGCTGCGTGAGGCGTTGGTGCCTAGTTAATGCTTTGAAGAAAGCTGACCTCAGGTGAAGGATCAACCCTCACTAGATCAAAGGATAATTTCTTGTCACTGACACTAAGTGGAATTTTCATTAGGAGAAGCAACCATAAAGAAAAAAGGTGAGAAAGCATCAATAACGTTAAAATAATTTAAAAGTTTGGAATTCATTCTGACATGGTGTGATTTCCAAAGAAGACTTTGGGGCAAGCATCAGGCTCAATCTTGATCTGATTAGGGTCTCAATCAGATGTGAGATAAGGTTATGGAAAACGTCATCCATGGGTTGGAGCCATATTGGCTCCAGTATATTTCTTTAGGAATTCTATTTTAACGCCAGGTTTTTTTGCTAAGATAAATGCTGTAATTTATTTCTCAAATCACACTTCAAAGCAAAATTTCTCCAACTTGGAGCAGTTCAGCTTCTACAGGATACAATTCTAAGCTTCTTTCACTGAATACATCGTTATACTGAAAACAATAGCACATAATCTTTTAAGTTTATGTTAATATACATTGTTTAGTGACCTTAACCTGTTTTGTCAGAGTTGAAATTTTGTTTTTACTTATGAATATCTTTTTTAATTGGCTTATAAAGTCTTGGCTCCTTAATAGAATTTTAAAGATAAGGAAGACACATCAAAGAAGCTCATAATAATCTTAAAAGATATACCAAAAATAATTGCAGCTCTCACACTGATACAAAACTATATGATTCAAGCTTGTATACAGCATACACATAGTCAGGTGATACTGGGAAATGTAGATCTTTCAAAGTACAAAAACAGATTCTAAATCTGTTCAGAAAGCATCATAACTTGTTGATTCTAAAACATCTACACCTGGTTTACTTTTTAAAAAATAAAAACTAGATTGAGAACAAGTGAAAAAGGCTTCAACATTGACAAATAACTCTTTCAAATAGTGATAAGATCATATTCTGGCCACCAGACCCAATATCCCATTGATGGAAGACCATATCCATATCTCATGAAATATGAAGTAGTCTTTTTTTTTTAAAGATTTTATTGGGGAATTGGGGGAGGGGAACAGACAAGTTGCTGTCCTTTTGTTCTTCCGTCTAGTTGTGGAGGACACTGCTTCACTGGCCCAAGTAGGCACCATCATTGTGCTCTTCCCGGGTGAGGCAGATCAGTCGCCGGCTTCTGGATGGCTGCTCACGACGGCTCGTGGCAGCTCACACCTGCTCCCGGCCGCTCACGCTGGCTGCTGGTCACTCACGGTAGCCCATGGCAACCCACTGCAGCAGGGGCTGCAGCCTATGCCCTCGCTGGCAACTCACAGCAGCCCAGCTCCAGGTCTAGCCGTTGTTCAGCATCTTAGCTGTAGAGGGCAGTGTCACTGGCCCTCATGTGGAATCTGAATCGGGGCCCTGCTGCTCAGAGCTGGCGTCCCAAGCCAGCTCTTAATGCACCACTCGGCCGGCCCATGAAGTAGTCTTTTGACTGAGCTGTATGATTCAGGTCTAAAATGTTGTCATGCTGTAACACAATTGAAGATGAAGGGATTTCTAAAATAGAACCCTTTATTCCTATCACTCTACTTACGCTTTGCTCATCCTTCAATCTTTTCGACCATTGCCTAGCCCATGGGTTAATTAAAAAATCCAGAAAGCAGCCTGCTTCCTCTTTTTCTTCCATGTAACATTTAATTCATGAGCAAACCCATCAAAACCCTTGAAAGTAGCTTCCTTTTTTTTTTTTTTAAAGATTTTTATTGGGGAATTGGGGGAAGGAGAACAGACAAGTTGCTGTTGTTTTGTTCTTCAGTCTAGTTGTGGAGGACGTTGCTTCACTGGCCCAAGTTGGCACCATCATTGTGCTCTCCTGGGTGAGGCACATCAGTCACCGGCTTCTGGACGGCCGCTCACAGCGGCTGCTGGCCGCTCACGCTGGCTGCTGGCTACACACGGTAGCCCATATAGGTAATTTCAGGAGCATAGATAATAGTAAAATAATTAGCAATTGGTTTTGAGTTTTTTTTTTTTTTTTTTTTAATGTAACATTTAATTTATGAGCAAACCTGCCAATGTGAACTCCAGAAGAAAATAAGGATATACTTGTGCCTGCTGCTCTGGCCAAACCTTCCCTGTCCTTGGTCAGTTAGAGATTATCTCAGGGTCTTTTACAGTTGTCCCTTCCCATATTCAGCTCATAAAGGAGACTGGGGAAGGATTACCACATCTCTGTCTTAAATCCCCAGGGAAAAAGTACTTTGGAGCTGTCAAAAATGCATTTCCAACATCAGCCAGTCGTAGGAAAGCCAATTCTGCAGTTGGCTTGGAAGCCCGAGCAATAGGAAAATCAGATTAATGTATGATTTCCATAAAGCATTATTAAGATCACCACTGATTCCATTAACTTTTTTTTAGCCTCCCCATACATTGTCTGTTGTCATGGAAACAGCTCCTGCTAAGCTGGCTATAAAATTAATTTAATAATTGGTGACCTTTCTGGGTAAATGTTAACTAATGAGTATTAGAAATATGGACTTACTTCATTTCAAAAAAACAAAAACAAAAAAACTCTCACTTAACTTTTTTCTCTGGAGATTAAAACTCATGCCTGTCTATCACGTAGGCAAAGCCTGCATCCATACCCACCATCTCTTTTTGTCATAGTTACTCCTAGATAATTGCAATTGTTGTCTTTTCCTGGAAAGAAATTCAATCACTGGGAATTAAGACAAGATTATAGCTATGAGAATGTGGAGTCATTAAACATTCTTGGAGAATTCTGTTAAAGTGGCAAGGACATTTTTAATGTACATTTTTCCAGTGGATTGGTTACCTGATTTTTTTTTTATAGGTATGTGTCATTGTTGGTAATTACCACATATTCAATGTCACAGATGGTACCTTACTAAGTATATTTTTGATGAAGCGAGATGTCTTCATACAAAAAAAAATTAAATGTTTCCAGTTAACATCACAACATATATGATCAGGCTATGAAAACACATGGGGTTATCCATACGAATCTTAAAATAATTTTATTGTTTAATCACCCAAATAATACTGTTTCATTGTAGAAAGGTAGAAAATAAAAGTAAGAAAAAAAAAGATAAAACAATCCACAGTTTACCACCCAGAATTAAGCATTTTAACACTAGAGATATAGTTTGGTTGGTTTTTTTTTAAAAGATTTTATTAGGGAATCGGGGGAAGGGGAACAGACAAGTTGCTGTTGTTTTGTTCTTCAGTCTAGTTGCAGAGGATGTCGCTTCACTGGCCCAAGCTGGCACCATCATTGCGCTCTTCCCGGGTGAGGCAGATCAGTCACTGGCTTCTGGACGGCGGCTCCCAGCGGCTGCTGGCCGCTCGCACTGGCTGCTGGCTACATACGATAGCTGACGGCAGCCCACTGCAGCAGGGGACTGGAGCCCATGCCGTTCCCGGCGACCCATGGCAGCCCAGTTCCAGGTCTAGCTGTTGTTCAGCATCTTAGCTGTGGAGGGCAGTGTCACTGGCCCGCATATGTGGGATCCGAACCGGGGCCCTCTGGCATACCAAGTCAGTTCTTAACCAACACGCCAGTCAGCCGGCCCTAGAGATATAGTTTTATATAGTCTGTCTGTCTGCTTATTTGCCTTCCCACCTTTCTATACAGCACTCACTTATCTATCTATAATCATATGTATCTATAGATATGTACATTTAAGACATGAATTGGCTCATGCTGCACATAATACTTT